GTAACGGCGCATTGTAATTGTACCCGGTAGGCTGGTCCTGGATCTTGATGTCTTGTATAATCTGATTGTCATCCAGGTTCATCGTTGCTCGTCGTGCGACATGGTCCAATCCAGGGCCATTCTTTGGAGACTGAACGTAAGTTCGAGCTCCTTTACCAATTCGAGTGTGAATGCGATGGTGTACAACACTCGTATGGCTTCTCTTTGTTTTGTGAAGACCCATTTTATCAATCAGTCTCGCGGTCACGAAAGCCAATGTTTCGTTGCGCCCTTCTGCCTGCTGAGCGCCTTGGCCATGCCAGTCCAATTCATGCTCAGCAAGTTGGGCAGGTTCCCCTGGAGTTTGACGCATGCATCTCCACAGGTAGGTTGAGATGCGCGTGAAGGTAGTTGCCACTTGCAGATATGATCCGCTAGGCAACTTACTTGAACGATCGTGTGTCAGGCCGAAATGGCAGCATCGCATACCCATGACCTGCAATTCGAGATCTTCAATGGCACCTCGTACGGGACCCTGTTTCAAGAGATATCCTGGTGGTCCCACAAGTACCATAGACACGCGTAGAGCCCGAGCTTTACGTCATCAGTTTTTGGATGCGTTGATAATGTGGCCCTGGCCGTTTTCCAGGCAATCTAACGTGCCAGTCAGCGGGCGTTGCCACCCATAGCAATTGATACTCCCCCGAGAGTAGTGCACCCAACTACTGTGTACCAGTAAAGGTCAAAACCTCTATATGTGCGATGCGGTCACACATGTAGCCGCGAGCTCGGATTTCAGCGCAAACTGTCCGTATGAAACCAATGACAAGTGCACGAGAATGATAATGATGCGATGAGCGCTCATTTGCTGCAGCGGCCACGCAGCCGGGTCCACTGCTGTCCTTGGCAGCCGCGCAGCCGGGCCTGTCAGTGCCCCTGGCGCGCACAGCCGGCGCCTGGCTAAAGAATGTCGGTTTCCCCGCGCTGAGATGACAGAGCCTGAGTGTTCGGCCTGTCGGAGCCAGCGCGGGTGGCCGTGGTGCGCGCCTGCCCCCGCCACTCATTTTCAAGCGATGGGAGCGTCCAAGTGCCCGTGCCATGCTGCGCTGCTGAGCCGCTGCTCGACATGGAAATGTCAAACTTCTCAGCGACATCATCCCCTCCCGCAGGTGTCCCTGCCTTCGCGTCGGGCGGCATCCACTTATTGCCCTCGTCGTAGATGGCCTGATGGACCTTCGCCTGCAAGTTCAGCAAGGCGAAGTCCTGGTCGGCCGGTGTGGGGGTACTCCCGAAGGACGCGTTGCTGTGATGCCACGTCTTCAAGGTGTTACTCAGCAAAGACTGGATCGTGAAGGCAAGCGTCTCTTCGTTGATGGAGAATCTGATGCCCTTGGCATCCTGAGACATCATGTATGCATGGGCGTCGCCCGTAGCAGGTGCCCCCACACTACTCGAAGCAGGTTGCCCCGCGACTGTCTCTGTGTCAGCTGCCTCTTTGACGAACAACGGGGCATCCTCGCAGTGAGGGTTGACTGCAGTAGTAAACGACATCGACCTTTCGTCCTCAGTTGCGGCCCCGTGCTCGTCGACCTTCAGCGGCAGGTGCCCTGAAGGCGTTTTCATCAAATCAAGTACTCGGGCACCCTTCCCAAGGAGGAACTCGTGCACACCAGAGCCGGGGATGGCCATCTTCACGCGCCCATGCTCCAGGATCAGGATAGTCCTCATGTTAGACATACTCCTCAGACCCAGGATAGCAGGGATAATGTCCCCCTGAACCCTCAGCCACGTCGGCTGAGTCGGTATCGATTCTCGGCGCAGCAGGTGCCCCCCCCGGTATCCTTTTCTTTGCGCGCAATTTTACAGTGCAAGGACTTGTCGCATACAGCGGCACCATGTCCCACTCCAGACACGTAGAGCGTCTTCGACAGGATCAGCTTCTTGATATCGTGTCCATGAGAGCGGGATACGCGTTCAAACGTCTATCCCGTTTCCAGACCAATGATGTGGATGTTGCTGCCGATGTCCAGAAGGATCGTCAACGTTCCATGCGCCATGGTCCCACTGTTCGCGGCCAAGGCCAATTCATGGCGTTCTCAGAATATTCCTGGCACTTCAGACAGCGTCGTACCATGCATGCCCTTGCGGCGCCTCTGCTCTAACACCCCGTCGTCCTTCGTCAGAGACGTGAGAGCGTTCATGTATCCGCGGGCCTCCCCCTCCGTAGTGGGGCTCTTCTCGGAAATCCAGGCCGCGGGATACTCGTCATGCATGCGCGGGCGCGGTGCAGATGCAAGCGGCATGTTCATGAACGTATCCTCGTCAGCGCGTATGCCTATCTGGCCATCTATGTTCACCATCAACACAGTGTGTAGCATGTCGCGCTCGGATATCGCACTGATGCCGCTGCGCACGCTCGCCGGGCTCTCCGTCCTGCGCTGGCTGCGCGGGCGGATGTCTCGCCTATATGTATGTGGAGCTTGAAGCTACTGTGCGTTCCTCTCGGCCGCTCTCTCTATGAGCCTCAGCCACATATCATAGGCCGGCAACGCGGCAGGTGCAGTCGTACAAGTTATGCCTGCATTGTTGGCTGTTTCCGCTATCAATAGCATAGGCGTATCCACGGCAGGCGCGGTAGCTGCCGTCGCATGCGCCGCGTTGGCTGATGAAGCAGGTTGCCCCGCAGGTGTTGTTGCGGCAACTGCCGTGTTGTTCGTCATCATCACCGTGATGTGGTTGAGCTCTTCGCGTAGGTCCCTGAGTTCGTTGGCCCCTCGGAGTATTTCTTCATGGCGATTTGCTGTATCTTGGTCGCCAGCAAGGGCATAATGAAACTCAGCTTTGATTATTAGACCAACGCCCCTGCAAATAGCGCAGGGCGCCTCAGTTGCAGCACCCTCCGAAGTACCAGCCAACTGCCTGTCCACATGAGCGTGCGCCACTCGGCCCCAGCACTGCGCATGGAATATGTGACCACACTGAAGCCTCCAGACCTTGTCGTGATGCTTGAAGTGGTCAAGGCATATGGCACACTTGTTAAAGTCACCGTCGCTGATGACCGGCGGCGTTGCCGATGGCCTGATGCGCGTCTGGCGCTCCAGAGTGGTTTCACCAAGCTCATACTGGATCGGTGGAACCGCCAGTGGCTGCGTGGCTGCAACTGCTGCCAGGTTGAATGCAGGTGTCCCTGCTGTGATTCGAGTAGCAGGTTGCCCCGCGCGACCCGGCGCCCCGTTCGCCTGCCGCTCATGATTGCGGCGCTGGCGGGCCAATAGCATTGAGAGGTCGGCCGGCTGCGCCTCGTGAAGGGTCAGAATCTCCCGGCGCAGCTCCCGCATGGATGATGGCGCTACCAGGCCGGGGGCCTGTTGAGGCACATCTGAGTCCATAGGGGTAGCCAAATATCCATAATGCGGAATCTGGCCCAGCGCACCTGACGTGTAAAGCCGCGTGTCAACTGAGACTGCCAGAAGGCGTCGGCTGTCGCCCGTGCATACGGGTTCTCCAGCTGCGTTCCCACGCGAGAGTGACCCGTCACCTGAGCATGGTAGTCAGGGTACGATGGGAAGTCCATCGGTGGTGCTGTAGGGCGCTCTGCAACTGTCGGATCGTATGTCGGATGACTGAGCAATGCTGGCACGTATCCGTGCCTATTGGGGTTGTCCGGTGATGGATTTGGGTCCGGGACATGCTCCCAAGGCGGCGTCCAGCTAGCGTTGGGGAGATCGATGCCGCCCCTGCGCATGCTCTGTGCGGCTCCGCGCATTTGCCGGTACATCCACTCTTGCTGACCAGCAAAACTCTCGGTCCTCTGTGCAGCGTTGTGGTCAAGGAATGCAGGTTGGCCGGCGTGTGGACGCGGCGATGCGAACGGCGATGTCGCCTGAAAGGCCTGGTAGAGCTGTGGGTCCATCCGAATGCTCGGGAGCCTCGCCTGTAGGCTGTTTGTGCTCCCAGCACTCTGTGGAGTCCCAAAGGGAGTTGTGGCCTTTCTCATAGGAGCAACGACGCAGGTTGCCCTGCAGGTACTGGCAACTGCTGCGTCTGGGCACGCCACGGATCGTTGGCGTACAACGTTTCGTTGGGAGTAATCCCACTCGATGACATACCAGTCACGTCCGCACTCTGGGCCTGGATCCATGATCCGTCGGATCCCCTTGCAAGTGTCACCGCTTGGTACCATTCTTGCATCATAAATACCGTAGAGAACTCGACCTCCTGGATAAGCGTCGGTTCGGGGCACTTCAAAATCAACGATGGTGCATCATTTCGAAATTCGCACAACTCGACGAGGCTAAAATCACGGTTCGCATTTCTGCGCGTTGTCCCACAGGTATAAGGGATGGACCCATACATGTCCCACTCGATTATACCTGCACTTCTCTTTGGGCAGAACGCCTATGAACTGGGCGATGTGAGTCGGAAGAATTATGCCGTTCCGGCCTGCCGACACTCAAATATCATTTGCTGCGCGCCAAGTGGCCATACGAGCGGGAAGCAAGTTTTTTACACTAACCATAATTAATACTTCGGAGTCGACGCGAAGGCCAAAGTGGATTCTGTTGTCACCAGGTAGCATATGGGCAAACATCAACAAACTGTCTGCCTTTTCTCTTGATGGTGTCGTCGGCGCGGCATGGCAGTCCTATGCGAAGTACATTCGGGATATGCTCCCATTGGGTACTATGAATGAAATAACAAGGTGCACCTGGAATGGTCAAACCCGTTATCCTCATATACAGTGATTCAGGGCATTTTATCCCAGGGCTGCTATCCATTACTTGGGCGTATGAAGTATGCATCGTGAGTCCTGGTAGCGAAATTGCACTTCTTGATATGGAGCCTCTGCTTCTGCATACCACCGTTGTCGACCGCGCCGATCTAGTTCAGCACAGCTAATGCTTGATATGCCCAATGGCGGTTGCTGAGACATCGCCAGAAAGTCTCCAGGTGTGTGTCCGCCGATGCCCCGGATTCCGTCGTCCACGCTCCGCCCAGATCCGCCTAACGGCGCGCACCACCTCGCGAACACTTCAGCGCGCTGATTCGCCATGGTGCTCTTAGCCGCGTCCGTGCGGCAGTGGGCAGCGATGCGAAAACCCTCCGACAAGAGACCGTGCTTCTGGAACACCCTCTGCAATTCCGTGTGCACGGGCGCCGCGACGAGCATTCCGCCGCCAAACGCCGCCACCGAGAGCGCCTGGGGCATCGATTCCGTGACGTACGCGGCGTGCTCTTTGAGGACGGGGGGCATATAGGCGTCCACCCACTCCCCGAAGAATCGCAGCGCATGTCCACTAGCAACCGCGGCTGCATCGATCGCCTTCGGGGCTGGCCAAGCTGGCAACCAGTCATCTCCGATGACCTCGGGGTCTTCCTCGCGCGGCTGCTCCTCCTCTCCGAGCTCGCCGCCGTCGCCGCCGCTCTCCTCGGCAAGCTGGCGCAGGTCGTCAGCCTCCGCCTCCACGTCCGCGGCCGCCGCGTCGGCCTCTACTTCCGACGACGCCTTGCCGCGCTCCTCGCTCGCTGCCCGACCCTCTCGGTCGCCGCCGCCAGCGGCGCCCTCGCGACGCACGGGGTCTGCCGAGGCGTCGTCTTCGGCGCGCCCAGCAGCGCCAGCTTCCGGCAAACCTTCCAGCGGCCCTCGAGCTTCCTCCTCGCCCGCTGTCACAGCCGCCTCCGCGGCTTCCCTGGCACTCGAAGCGGCCGCCGGCCGCCGAAGAGCGGAGGCCGCGGCCGCCCTCTTACCCGCACTCGAGGCCGGCGCCTCGGCCGGCCTCTTCTCGGCCCCGCTGGCGATGGACGACGGCGCCTGCCTGGATAGGCGCGCTCGGAGCGGCGACGAGCCTTCTACAGTGCTGGCCCGCGCCGCCGCAGGCGCCACGAAGTTGTCGAGGTCGAGGCGCCCCCAGCGGCTCCCATCCGGGAGCTTCGGCAGTTTTTTCGGGGCCATCAGCCGCGCCGAAGCGGGCCGCGCGCCGAGGCGGCCTGGCCGCGCGGGCCCACTGCGCCGCGCGCCTTGAGCCAGAAAACTCTGGAGGGCAGCCTACTGACCCCATCGGGGCCCTCTCGAGGCCCCCCCGCGGTTCCCAAGGCACATGTCCACGGACCAAACAAAAGCCTGCCTGGTTGTCTCACTGCCCGCCCTCCGCAAGGAGTGAACCAGATAATGAATATTATGGCCCTGGTCTTTCTCGCCCCTTCCTCCCCCCGCCCCCCTCTCTTCCTCCTCCCTTCCTTCTCCCTTCCTCCTCCCAGTATCCCCTCTCCTCCTCCCGCCCTCCTCTCTTCCTCCTCCCCTCTTCCCCCCTCCCTCCCCCCTTTCTCCTTTATTCCTCCTCCCTTCCTCCTTCCTTACTCCTCTGTACCTCCCCCCTTACTCCTCTATTCCTCCTCCCTTCCCCCCTTCCTTCCACCCTCTTCCCCTCTTCCTCCCCTTCCGTGCTTCGGGCCGATCGGGGATTCGACTTTTCTGTTCCGTGGATGGGAACATGATCTACCTTTGTAGGCTCTGTTTACCTGTTGCAGGAGCGTGCCTATTGCTTCCATTAGGTCTCGTGCGCCTTTGCTGCTGCTGCTGCTGCCGTTGCTGCTGCCACGCCAGGGGCCCAGGAGCGCCAGGCGAGCGAGCTAATCCGAGCCAAGGGGCGGCAACTGGCCCGCCACGAAGGCAAGTGGCAGCAGCAGCAGCATCAGCAGTAGATCTGCCAACGGCCGAACCCCTGGCATCTGTAAAATGGTCGTCGTCCTCCTCCTCCTCCTCCTCCTCCTCCTCCTCCTCTTCCCTCCCCCCATCCTCCTACCCACCCATCCTCTTCCTCCTACAGAGCGAGGGGGGGGGAGGGAGAGCAGCAACAAGAGCAGCAGCAACAACCAGAACCTTCGGCGGACAGGAACCGCTCTTGCTCTAACAGGGCGCGCCCTCGGCGCGCGAAGACTGGCTTGAAATGCTGGCAACTGGCAGCAGCAGGAGCAGCATCCGCAGTTGATCTGCCTACGGCCGACCCCCTGGCAGGTGTGCGATGGCCCTCCTCCTCCTCCTCCTCCTCCTCTTCCCCCTCCCCTTCTCCCCTCTTTTCCTCCTCCTCATCCACGGATCCCGATTCGCCTGCCTGGGGCGGCATCGGTGCAAGTTTCAAGTCTGTTGCGTCCTCGTGGACGCGCCCAGCAGAGTACGGCAAAACCCTCCTGCGTCTCCTGCTCCTCCTCCGCCTTGCTTCCCCCCCCCATCCTTCCTCATTTTTTTGCAGAGCGAGTGTCAGACTCCCCTCGACTAAGCACATCGCTCGCATTGTCCGTAGCAAACTTCCGAAGCTGGAAAAGCAAGGCCTGTGGACAACCCCCGTGAGAGACCGCCACGGGCTGTCACTGCGCCATTCCCCTGAACTCTAAACCGAGCGTCAGCCCGCAACTCGCAGTGCATATCTCGCGCGCTGGACCTCCCCCCGCCGCCTCGCTCTATCTCCTGCGCCCCCCTGCCTCCCGCGCCCCTCTCGTCTCAGCGAGGCGGCCCCTGGGCGCCGGCCGCTCGACTGGAGAGCGCGCCAGGCGCCCCCGCCGCAAAGAAAAACACCACCGTGCCCCCGGACTCCTGCAGCGCGCACCTACGCGGCCTTGCGCGCGGACTTGCGCACAGGGGCGCCGCCAATGCTGGCTCTCTTCGCCGCCAGAACCGCTGGGGAATGCGGCGTCGCCTTTGGAAACGACGCCGCGTCGCCCACCCTGGCCCTCTTGGCGGCCCCGGGCGCAGCCCGGGCGCACCCTTTCTGGTCAGTGCCGCCGGCCCCGCTCCCAGGCGCGCTGTCTGCTGCACCGCTGGCGCCCTCCGCCTCGCTCTCCCCGCTCACTGCGCGGCCGGCGAGGATCGCCTTCCCCGCGTTCAGAAGGATCTCGGGGATCAGGCGGCCCTCGAGCGCGGGAAACTCCTCCTTCGTCTTGTCAGGCTCCTCTGCGACGCTGATGAGGTTCTTCATGGCATCGCGGACCTTCTGCTTCTGCTGGGTCAGAATCCTCGACTGGCCTTTCGCCTCCCAAATCGACGACGTCACGTTCGCGCACCAGGCGACCAGGAAGAGCCGCTGTCGCAACTGTGACGTCATGGAGTCCACCTGCGACTCAAGATGGGGGTCGCGGTACACCTCCTTTATGAGAGAGAAGCCACCGATCACCTGGAGCGAACGCGGGGTGGCGAGGAGGAGCCGCGGCGGAATGTACTGGGAACGAGGGGAGCTCGGTGGGATGAGACAGCGGGGGACTGGTGAAGGAACACGAGGAGCTGGGGAAGACGGCGAACAAGGATCTGCGCACCTTGTTGACAGCATCAACCATCTTCCCACCCTTGCCGCCGAAGGTCTCCGGCATGTCCACGGTGCCACCGACAACCTTTAAGAACTCGGCCGCTTCCTGCAGCGTCTCGGGGATGGGGCTCCTCTCAAGAAGCTCCTTCGCGGCGCGCACGGCTGGCTCGGCGTCGAACCGCTTGACGGAGCGTTCAGCCCGCTCCTGCGCGACTTTCTCCAGCCATGGCACGGCCTGCGCGTGCAGCTCCTTGCTGGCCCCCACTGCTGCCTCCACATCTTCCAGAGAAGCGTCGAAAGTCTTCGCGATGACCGTCTGGAAGGCGCGCTCCGGCTGCACCATGTCCCCGAGCTGGCGCACGGCGTCGCTCGCGTTCTCCCACAGCTCCAGGTTCAGCTCGCCCCCGGCCTGCTCGGCAAGCTCCTTGGCGTCGGCGACGGCCGCGACGCTGCACAGCCACATGTCCGCTTCCTTCCAGGTGTCCTCGGGCGGCTCCGCGCTCAGCAGCTTGGAGATATTCAAGAAGGCCTGCAATTCCTTCCGTTGCCACGCCGCCGAGTCCACGCGCTTCAGAGACTGTTCTGCTGCGCCCTTGGCTCTGGCCAGAACGCCGTGGCCCAAGGCCCTGCGCACGCGCGCCGCCGTGCCCAGCGCGAGGGAGAACAGCGACTGCAGCCCCTCTACGTTGTCTTCCGCAGACACTGTCACGCCAGAGACCTTCAACAACGCCTCGGGGCTCTCCTTCAAGAGGTCGCACAACCGATTGGCTGTCTTCACTGGCTGCTTCATCCCAGGTACGTCGAGACGGCTGCACGCGGCGATGTCGGCGATCTTCTTCAATGCCCCGAAGGCGGTCTCGTGGGGGCCCTTGATGCCATCAGGCGCCCACTCCTCGACGGTCGACCAGCCGTGCTCCAACTCCAGCCGCTCGACGCACGCGGCAGTCAGGAGCTCCTCTGGAGAACGCGTTTCGGCGCCCAAACTACATTGAGAAGGCGCGCTGCTGCAGCACCTCTGGCACAAGGTGTTCTCCTCATCATCCTCCTCCCTCCTCCGCCTCCACTTCCTCCTGATCGTTCTGGCGGTCCCGGGTCCGGGGGTGGTTCATCTGTCTGCGTCCTGTTTCTCGCTATCGGACAAGGAATCTTCCCTCAGGCCTGCTGCGGCTCGCCCCACCTCCTCGCGGGGCGAGCGCAAGAGCAACCCGAAGACCACGTCCTCGAACGCCGTGCCTCGACAGGAGGCAAACACAGGCAACGGCGAGGTCAAACATCCCATGCTCAAGTAGGAGAAAATAAGGCGCGCCGCAGCAGCACCGGCCAAACTAAAACCAATGGCGGATCGGAAACCCTCGAACCTCATCGAACGGACTCGCGATCTTGCGGAGGCCCGCCCGCGGCCTTCCCTGGCGAGTTGGTGCCGGTCGGCCTCCTGCAGCGCGCCCGCCTTGGACGCGGCCTCCTTCTGCTTCTTGCAGGCGCGCGACACCTCTCGGTCCAATTCTGCCACTGCTCCCCGGCGGCATGGCCCGTCACCTGCGCGGAGAGCTCCCGGGCTGCCTGGGCGCACTGGAGAGCAGCCTCCTCGTGGGACCGCTTCTTCATGGCCGACTCCGCCCAACCAACGAGGACTTTGCCGCCCGGGCTCGTGTTCAAAGCGACGCCCAAGGCCCCCTCCAGCTGCGGGAGCGCCTCCAGCGCCTCCTCCACCTCAGTCAGCGGGGCAGTGCTCGCGCGCGACACTGCCCAGAGAACTTGGATTTGACCCTTCAGCTCCTCCTCCCACACTGGCCGCGCAGGGTCGGCGGGGGCCCGCTGGAGAGCATCCCGCGCGGCGCCAGCGAAGGCAACCACGGCAGCAAACGATCCGCCCCCCTTCTTGGCGTCCGACTTCGCGACGGCCGAAATCAGGCCCGTGCCGACTCGCTCGAGGGTCGTCGTCGCGAGATCTGCCGAGGGCGCGCCATCTGCGGCACCGCTTTCCAACAGGGACATCAGCTGTAACCAATCGCAGCGCTTGATGGCCTCGTCTGCCTTCCAGCTCCTGAACCGCATGTGGTACGCCACGCCGAACGCGATGTCCTCCGCCGCGGCGATCTCGGTGTCTTTCAGGAGAGTCTCGGTGTTCCCTGGCTTCTCGCTCACAGCAGCCTGCGGACTCCTCCGCCTCCTCTGGTCCCCCATCGCTCAATATTCTTCCTCCTCCGCTTCCGCCGCCTCCTTTGAACTGGGCCGGGGGCCTCCAAGCCCCCGTTCACAAAGAGGAATGAACAACTGAATGCGTACTGTAGCCCCCTCCTCCCTTCCTCCCCCATTCCTCCTCCCTTCCCCCTCCCTTCCGCGTCCCTTCCTCCTCCCTTTCTCCTGCCTTCCGCCTTCCTTCCTCCTACCCCCCCTCCTGCCTTCCCCCTCCCTTCCTCCCTCTCCCCCTATCGTCCTTCTCCTTTCCTCCTCCCTTCCTCCATCGACGACGACGACGACGACCGCGAACGCGACCACGACCGCGACCACTCCGCCTTGACGACCCGCACTGCCGCGGCCAGCGCCTCCTCTGAGCGCGCCAGCCACGCCTTGTTGATCTGCAGCGCCTGCGCGCCGTCATCCGGGATCTTCCCCATCTTGGCCGCTGCCTTCTTGGCCGTGTGGATGGCGCTCTCTGCGGCTGCCGCCTGCTCAAAAGCCGTGGCCTTGAAGTGGGCTCTCCCCTCCTTCGTGGACAGGTCCACATCTCCGCTGAAGTCGAGCAATTTGTAACACTCCCGGAACGTGTTGAAGAGCGTGTCGGCCTCGCCCTTGAGTTTCCTGCCGGCCGCTGTGAGGCTGAATTCGAGGGCCTTCCGCCCCCTCTTCTTCGACGCGGAGCCGTCCTCGAGAGGTGCTGGCTCGTCCGGCTGCCCGCCGCCCTCGTCGGAGTCGTCGGGCGGCTGGGCGAGCAGGGGCGCGGCCCACGAACCGCCGCTGCCACGCTTCTTCCCTGGCTGGCTCCGGCCCGAGCGCTGCGGGGTCGCCAAGGGCGGACTGGCGCCGCTGCCGTCGGCTGGCTGCGCCGAGGGCGCGGCCGTCTGAGCAGGGGCGCGGGCGGCTGACCTCTGCGGCGGCGCCTGCGCCGAGGGCGCGGCGCACTTCGAAGGGGCAGCGGCTGCGGGCGTGGCAGCCCCTTTGGCGGCAGGCCTCTCGGCTGTCTGGGCGGGGCGCCCGGACGTGGCCCTCCCGGTCGTCTGGGCTGGTGGTCTGGCCTGCGGCTTGGTCGCAGCCTTGGGCGCGGGCTTGGCGGCGCGGGCCGTGCCCCGCGGGCCCGACAGCGCCGCGGCCACGAGATCCGTCTCTTCGGCGTCCTCGTCGCTCGCGGGAGAGTCGGACTGGTGCCCCTCCGACGGCGCGCTCTCTGCTGCACCGATCTCCGCGCACTGCGTGGCGCGCCGCAGGGCTGCAATTGGGGCCACGGCGGCCTCGGCAGCAGCCGCAACCTCAGCCGCGTCCGCGTCGTCGTCTGACTCGGCCACAGTCGCCAGCGCCGTCCTGTCCTCCACCTTGCGATCGTCGTAGTCCGCGATGTCGTACAAGAACTTCTTCGCGCCGTCCTTCATGACATATACAACCTGCCAGTAGGAGAGCAGAAAGGGAGGGCATTTCAACGATGAAGGAAGCGAGTGGGAAGACGACTTGGCAGCGCGCCTCCTGCCAGGCGCCGTCGATGAGCTCCTCGCCGCGACAATTCGGGTCCGTGGGCAGCGGCGTCTCAGGGAAAGCCTCGTGCCACTTGCTCACGGGGCAGGCTTGATGCCAGTTCGCAGACAGGCGACGCCCGGAGACCTTGACGGAAGATACCTGGCGAGCCTGCTGGATGTCTCCCGCGGCCTGCCTGGACATGCGGCGGCGCTTCTCTGGGTCCTTCCCCGCCTGGCTCTGGACGTACGCATCCACCTTGAGCCGCACGGTCTGCGCCCGGCCCGCATCCTGGCGCACCCACTTGATGTACTCCTTCAGCGGCTTCTTCTCGCCGCCAGGCAAGTGGGGGTCCAAGAGCACCGCCTGCGAGAGAGAGAAAGAGAGAGAGAGAGAGAGAGAGAGAGAGAGAGAGAGAGAGAGAGAGAGAGAGGGGCTGGACCAAGTCGGAATCGCGTCGGACATGGGTCGGGGCCGCGTGGGACTCGAGTCGCGTCGGGCCCCGTGCAGGATAGGCCGGGCGGGGCACCCCTGCGGATCGAGCGGAGGTGGAATGTCCAACGGCAATGCTCGAAGTCGCCTCGCCGCGACCAGAAAAAAATGCATTCCTCTGCCGGTTGCCCTTTTTCTCTTGCGCGGAATTGCAATGCGCTGAATTTAAAATTGCATCTTTTTGTGAATTTATTGAAAAAAATCATTTCCCCCCAAAAAAAGTTATGTTCACCAAAACCACTTTTATGTTCACCAGGGCGATTTTATGTTCACCAGGGCGGTTTTATGTTCACCGGCCGGAAATTCAAAAAACAATTATGTTCACCAAAACCACTTTTATGTTCACCAGGGCGATTTTATGTTCACCAGGGCGGTTTTATGTTCACCGGCCGGAAATTCAAAAAAACAATGGGAAATAGAAAAACAAATCAGAAATAGAAATTTGCAGCCCGCGCGGGCAGAGAAAAATTGAAAGCGGCGGGCTCGATTTCAGCGAAATGTCCCTTGCCCGCCTGCCTTCTTGCGCAACAGGGCCTTGCAAACCAGGCACAAATAGCCCGTGGCCTGGCGGATCATGCTGCCATGGTCGGTGCGGTACTTCCACGGCCAGTATCCGCCGAACTCGTCCTCGTTACTCGCCTGGGGATACGGGCTCGGGTCCGTGCTCTCGTGGGCGCAGAGACCGCGCGTGAAGCTGGAACCATCCTTCTTGTTGAAAGGTTTCACCAGATAGCCAGCCCACTGGCCAACCACCGCGAAGGCGACCTGAGAGGAAACGGGAGCCAAGAGGGAGGAAAGGAGGCTAGGCGAAAGAAAGGAAGGACATAAGGAAGTGCACAATGACGGGGGCCCCTCGACCTCGAGGCCGTGCAGCATGCGGCCCCGCCGCAACCCCGAGGCCAGAGACGGCGCTTTCTCCGTCTCCCCGTCGGTGTCGGAAGGCGATGCCTTCACCGTCTCCGCGCGGGACATCGCGGGGAGCGAGGGGGCGGGCGCGGCGGCGGGCAGCGAGGCGCTGGCGCGGACGGCAGCTTAGCCGCAGCTCGGGAACAATGCTGCGCCGAGAGACGCGGCGAAACAGCGATTGGAGCAACGATCAGGCGACAGCTGCGCGATTGCAGCGGGCGGCCGCGGCGGCGACAACGGCTCTGAGAAATGCACTTTTACACGCCTACGCTTCGTATCTGTCCTGGCGGGAAGATCACCCGCCACGGGCCCGCCTCTCCTCCGAGTCCCTCCAAGGCTGGCTCTCGGGCATGCCCTCGAGGACCGCGCGAGCAGCGGCGATCTGCGCTGGCGTGGGCACCTTTTGTTTATGGTCTGCCTTGCTCCCGCATCCAGGGGCCTCCCCCAACCACCACCACAAAGCGGCCAATGGTCTGACCCTCGATTGCTGGTTCCATGAACAGCCTGGATGGAGGCCACAGACGGCGCGCATGTCGTAGACGGCGAGGGCCTCGTTCTCGACAAGGCGAATGTAGTGAGGACGGCCAGCCCCAGCGGGATGTGGGAGCTGCGGGTATCGGGCGACGCGCGGGCGCCTCGGCGCGCCCGCGGGGGGCGGCGGCGGCGCCGCCGCCGCGGCGTGGCCGCCCAGCGGCCCGTGCGCCAGAGCGGCGTCCGGCGCTGCTGCGGGAGGCGCCTCCGCAGGCGCGCCTTCTGCTGCACCCTGCGCCCCGCGACCTCTCTGCCGCCAGGCGGCGGCGGCCCCCCAAGCGGCCTTCCAATCCTTCGCGTAGTCAGGCTCCTCATCCCCGCCACGCGCGCCGCTGCCCCCCCCGTCGGCGGAAGCCCCGCCAGGGCGGGAGTCGGCGAACGCCTGGAACCAGCCCGTCGCCAGGTCAACGTCCTTCTCGTGGAGGCGTGCCTCGTGTAAGTCCCGCTCCTCCGCCCAATCGACCGAATGCTGCAGCTCTGAGCAACCCATGCGCGGGCGCGCAAGAAGTTCGACCCAGCGCAGCTCAGCCCGGTCGCGCCCGCACACGCGTAAGATGTGGAGGGCGACGTCGATCTCAGTCATCATCTTCAACACTCTGCGGCCCTTCCTCTCCACCCAACACCGGCGCAGAGAGAATGGCACCTCGGGGGGCGCCGCGCCGAGCCCGCATGGCTGCCCCACCGCGTCGCACTCGCAGAACTCCCCCGTGAAAATAGGACTTTTCAAGTGCGAGAAGTTGCGAATCATCACACAGCCTCCAGGCCCTGAAACTTGGGGGGCCAGCATCTTCCCGACAGTCTTGCACCTCGCAGGGGCCACCAACAACCGCAAATCTTCCACTACGCCTTGGTACTCCCCCCGCAAGTCGGCGACGCCGCCAAGGCATTCTGCCGCGCGCGTGCAGCAAGGCCGCTCAGTTGGGAGGCCGCAGCGAATGAGTCCTGGAGGCGCCACAGCAGCATTGTACATTTCGTCAAACGACACGGCCGTGGCTTCCACGAAGGATCCCCTCTTCAGCTTCGCATCGACATGTGCTTGCACGGCTGCGGAGACAAGGTCCTCGGACAAGGGGAACTCGTCTGAGCCGAGACCCCAAGGCCAAGCAGCTTCGTCCGACTGGTCAACGTGGTCGCGACAGATGCGCACGTACTCGTGCAGCGGGTCTGGCTTCATCCTCTCAGCCTTGTTCGCGCGCCGAGCCGCCTCTCTCCAGCTTCGCCTCTCGGCCTCGGATGCAGCCCGCCAGTCCGCGGCCGCCTGTAGATACAGACGCCGCTCGTACTCTCTCGGGTCTGCCCATGGCGCCCGCGGCTGCGAATCTCGCAGATCAGCCACGCGACGGTGGTAAAACATATAATGGCCCAACCTCTTGCGCCGCTGGTTGCCTCCTTTGCCTTGGGCCCAGATCGGTTTCGAGTGGCCGCTCTTCTGCAGGAGTCGGCCCCGCTTGGTGCGCAAGTCGCGCCCGCGGCGCATTCTCCGCCCCTCTTCGTGACAGCGAACAACCTCGGAGATCACGTGCTTGGCGGAGAGCGTCGCGGCGTTCGGAGGTCTGTTGTTCATCGTCTGGAGGTGGGCCCTCATCCGCGCAAAAGCCAATCCCACGCGCCCTTCAGGGCGCAAGTGGTCGAGGGAGATTCCTCTTCCAACCCCCATTCTTTCCCGTTTGCGGAGGGGTCTACCCCTCTCCCGCGCCCCCTCCCCAGGACCTGGGCGCGGGGGCCCGCAATAGGTTAGAGCGTCAAGAATGGCCCAAGACGGCCCCTAGGGTCGCAGACCGCAGCCGTGAAAAAGCCAACTCGCCTGGGCGACGTTTCTGGATGGGCTGGTGGGGATCTGCGCAACGCCAACAATTCGGAATGCACCGTCGAGGCCATCGCGTACCTAAAGCATGCGGAGAGAAAGCGCTGCACCTCTGGCAGGAAAAGGTCGTCAACGCCCGTGGTGCACATCTTCCTCAGCCTCAAGGAGAACCCCGAGTCCAGGCAACACTCGTTTGCCCGAAAGAGTTCTTCGCCTTCTGCGCGGCGGGCCCCCATGTCCAGGGAGGCGTCCACGAGCCGCATGAGCCTCCATGGGTAACCGCTCAAACGAATGTCGAAACGACGATAAAAGGACCCAGTGAATACGTGGACGATGGCGTCTGCTTCGCGGAGGACCTCGCCGGGCCAGGACGCGAGGGGGCCGTGCAGGGCAAGCGGCAATCTCCACAAATCGTAATGTCCAGCTGCAGCGGGGTCAAAGGCTGAGCTCAGCTGAGCGAGCGTGTCAAAGACGACGCTCTTGCAGAATGACGACAGCGCAGACCCCTTGGGGTCGAGCCAGCCATGCAAAGACCCACGTTTGAAACATGCGTAATGAAATCGCACCCCCACGGCGGCCACGGCCACCCACAGGACCAGCCGTTGCCGCGCAAGTAGATCGGAGAGAAACCTCATCATCTTGACGGTGCGAACACGCTGTTCACGCCTGAAATCCCCCAGGCCCGCTGCGCCGCTGCCGCTCTCGAGGCCGCCATCTTCCCGCCGCATGGCGCGCGCAGCAGCGCCGCACGTCTTCTCGAGCGCACACGGCAGCAATCCATGCAAGGAGATCAACAGCAGCATGACGCACGCGGTGGGATGCACAGTGTTCCAGCGGTTCAACGCGGGCACTGCCAAACGCCTGCGCAAAGGAACCATCACCGCCGCCACCGCTCTGTCGACAGACTCCTGCCTGTTCGCGCAGCAGTCGCGGCCCCTGCAATGGTGCACAGGCCTCTCTTGAGACATGTCGCCGGTGAACATCTCCTTGATCAAGTCGACCTCTGGCTTGGTGAGGCCTCTACGTTGGCCGCGCGCCGCTGTCACCTCCTCGTCCTCCACGTCCTCATCCATCTGGCGGTCGCAATACCCGAGCAGCGCGTCGAGCTTCCCCCTGCCCGCTGGATTCGGCGCGCCCCGCCGCACCTCCAGACCAGCCTCCTCGTCCGACAGGATTTGCCGCAGAGCTGTCTCGAGGGCCCGCAAGTTGACCCCTGTTTGCAAGTGTCTGACAGTGGAAAACATGCCGCCGACGACCCCCGTCATGTCCCCGACCGACTGCAAACATATTGCGGTTTGATGCTGCAAACAAAAAGAAGGCAACAGGAGGACCCACCAGGGCAACGTCTGCAGCAAATATTTGCACACCAGCCCGTTTGCGGCCACAGAATCGACGCTCGGGGACAAGCACGCCAGCAGCGCCGACGGCCAGAGCTCATCCATATCCACGCGCAACGCCCGCGCGAGGCCTCCGAGCATGCAGTCGGCGGTTGCAGATTCCAGCACGGACGGTGGGAAGATAAGCTCTTGGCTGTGGACGCGGAGGTCCTCGTCTTCCCAATGCAACACGCCGTGCTGTGTCATCACTTGCTGCCCACAAGGAGGCTTGCCGTCGTTCAGCTGCACAGTGAACTTGGTTTCGCCCCACTGCAGATGCATAACCAACCAATTGTGTTCTGTCCCAGGCGCTCTGAGCACTTGGCGCTCTATTTGAACACGTTGGCTGTCGCAATAAAGCTCCGCCAAAGCCGATCTCAATTGGCGAACGAAAAGATGGCTGCCTTTGATTCCGGTGCCTCTGAAAACCTTGGCGACGCTGCTAGCAGCCATCCGCAGATTCTCTTTGCTGAACACTGCGCGGAGCATTGTCCGAGGAAGCTACTGATCCCAGCGAGATCATGGCGACTTCTTGCGCGGGCCTTCCTGCCCCTCCCCCATCACGTCCACCTGTCGCTTGGCATTGTCCAACTTGTGCGTGGCCATCTGCGCCTGCAGCTCCATGTCCAGCTGGAGCCGCGCATCGCCCCTAGCCCGACGAGCTGCAGCGGCAGCCGCGCCCAGAGGCACCAGGCCGCGCCTGCCTGGGCGGGGCCCGGGGCGGCGCGCTTCTGCTGCACCTCGAGCCCCGAGCCCATCGCCGCCCACGAGGCGACCCAACGCGCCCCGAGCAGCCGCGAACAGATCCATTCGGGCATATGACCACCAGCGCGCTGGAGCCACAAGGACTACAGATGCACGGCTCACACGATAGAGGCCCCCAGCCTCCTGCTAGGTTTCTCCTCTTCCGTTTCCTCCTCCTCCTCCTCCTCCTATTCCTCCTCCTCCTTCTCCGGTTTGCTCGACGCGGGCCCGCGCGTCACTTCTCGAGCGGTCACGGGCGCCACCGATGACGCTTGCCACCATGCGGAAGGCAGCGTCGGGTAATGAGCAGGGGTGCTCCCTGGCTTGTCACTCACAGCAGTCTGCTTTCTCCTGCGCCTCCCCTCCTCCTCCTCCTCCTCCTCCTCTCCTCCGCGTTCGTTACTTATTCCTCCTCCCGCGCCCCCCCCCCCCTCTTCCTCGAGGCGGCCTGGCGCTACAACGTCTTGCAACGACCACCTTTGAAGCGGGGGTGCCCCCAGCATCCGTTCGCCGCACGGAGTGACCACATAGTGAGTACCTTAGCCTTCGCCTTTCTCTCCCCATCCTCCTCCCGTCCTGGTCTCTTCCCCCTCCCTTCCACCTCGCTTCCTCCTCCCTTGCTCCTCCCTTTCTCCCCCCGTCCTCATCCAATCCTCCTCCCTTCCCCCTTGCTCCTCCCTTCCTCCCCCCGTTGGCCCCCCTTCCTCCTCCTGTCCTCCTCTCTTCCTCTTCCCTTCCTCCTCCCTTCCTCATCCCCTCCTCCTCTCTTCCCTCTCCCTTCCCCCCCCCTTCCTCCTAGTCGCCGCGGCGCGGCAGGAAACGCATTCACAACAGTCGTTTCAATCATGAGCCGCCGCAGCCGCGGGGTGCGCCACAACCACAAAGGAGGAAAGATGTCCGCTGACGAAGACGACGACGACGACGACGACGACGACCACGACGGGCTCCACGACGACGACGACGACGACGACCACGACCACGACAACGACGTCCACGACGACGACAACGACGACGAACGCGACCACGACCACGACGACGACGACCACGACGACGACGGCCACGACGACGATGACAACGACGACCACGACGAGGACGAGGACGAGGACGACGACGACGACGACGACGATCACGACCACGACCACGACGACGACGACGACCTCGGGAAGCCCTCTACAGATACCCTTGGGGTAATTTTGGGGGAGGAACCTCTTGAAGCCTACTCGGCGTCCTCTCGGGGCCGTCTTGGAGCCCACTGGTGCCTCTTGGAACCTCTGCAAGCTTCCCCAGGCCGCGTTGGGGGGCTCTGTCAGCCCAGGGTTCCCCACCTCGTTGGGGGTGCTCTGTCACCCGACATCTTCTTTTTTTCATGTGCGAACGTTGCGCACGAAGCTCTCAAAGGAATAATCCGCAGCGAATTGGCGCCGTTCCAAATGCCAGCAATTCGGGCGCGGCTGCTTTGCAGGCCGTCACCAGGAGAGGGAGTAGGGAGAAGCGCGCTGATGCTGCACCAGAGGAGGCGAAGAGGAATGAACAGGTGGCGGGGGCTGCCTGCTAGTTGGACAGCTCGCGGGAAACAGATAAATCACGCCGCTCCGCAAACTTTATAAACATCCTCGACGCTCACGTGGTCGACTGGAAGTTTGCCGTCGGCGGGCGGGTACCAGCAAGTGGCAAACAAGCCTTTGTACCGTTGAGCCCTCGACACCATGCAATCGACCATCTGATCGTCCAGGGTCACTGGCGTTTGCACCTCCTCCCTCAGCGCCTCCACCGCCCGCCCCTTGTCGGCGTGGTGGCCCCCCAGAAGCCTGCGCTCTGGATGAAACGGCAACCCCTTGGTTTGCAGGCCAGCCCTGACGAGCTCATTCAGCACGAGTTCGGGCCTGCACACGAGGTCCTCGTGCCGCGCGACGAGGACGCGATGGGTTGGAGACGCCGGGCTGCCCACGCCAGTACCGTGGAGCACTGCGGCCATGTAGTGGCACCACAAGTCGAACGCATCCTCGAACTCTGGATCGTAATCGACGCGGCCTTTCGCCCAGGCGGGCCAGCGGACGTGCACAGGTTCGTCTCTCGGCCCCCGCAAGAGCCAACTCACGCCCCCCATCCTCCGAACCCGCTTCGTGCCGCTGGCAGAGTTCGGCATCAGTTCGTAGGCGCCCTTCGACATCGCCCTGATCCACCTGGGGGAAGGGGATTGCGAGAGCAGCATGGCATGATAGTTTGGGGGAAGTGAGAAGACGGGAGGGCAGGCAGGCTGATACCTCAAAAGCTGGCGCGCTTCTGCTGCAACATTGGCCCGAAAGACCCGTCGGCCGCCTGGTCGGCTCGCGCGTGCACACCAGAACCGCCACTGGGCGGCCCTGCTCATCCTCTGGCGGAAACTCCAACGGCGTGAGGAGCAGGTCGTGCTTCCACACGTGGCGGCCGTTGAAGGAGACGCACCCGTCCCACCTGCTCTTGCGCACCTCGACGTCGAAGTGCCGCTCCATGTAACTGTGGAGGGCGTGCGTCCCCGTTTTCCAGAGCCCCTGCACGACAACGCACGGCCGCTGGTACTTGCCGCCTGCATTGAGCTGCAGGTGGTCGTCCTGCATGCGACAGTACCCCACGGGCGTGCCCACCACAGGTACAGGCAGCACAACGTGGATGGACACCTCCTCGAAGTGGAGCGGCTCCCCTGGGCTCCCGCGCGGCACCTGTGACTGAGAGGGGGGGCCAGGCGAGGACTCTCCCTTGGTCTTCCCGTGGCCTTCCTGACCCCCATCATGCCTGATTCCAGTATAACCTCCCCAACCCCCTCCCCTTGGGAATGGGTCGATTTCCACGACGACCAGAGTCGAACGGGGTGGAGGTGTGGTCGGAATCGATCAGGCGGAATCTATTGGAGCCAATTGGAATCGGAATCGATCGCGCTGGGGATCGGATCGAACGCGGGCCCGACGGGAATCGCTCGGCACTCGGGCTCCTCGAAGAAGCCCCGTCAGACGCGTTCGGAAGCGGACTCAGAATCGAGCGGACTCGATAGAAATCGAAATCGGAAACGTCAAAAATCAGACTCGGCTTCGTCGCCCTCGAATTTTGGCCCCGTGTCCGCGTAGTCCACGGCGACGGCGCCCGTCCCCGCGCCGTCGGGCACGGGGGGCGGCGCCGACGCATCGGCAGGCGGCGCCAGCGGCGGCGGCGGTGGAAGCCCAGCCGCTACGACCTCCGCGGTCGCGAAGGCTCTGGCAGCTCTGCGGCGGGCCTGTCCTGCAACGGCGCGCGCTGCAGCGCCACTCGTTCTCTGGTGCGCAGTCTCCCAGTCGGCCGCAAGCGACGCGAAGGCCTCGGCCTCGGCGCTGTCTCGGACGACGCGCCTCTTCGACGCAGGCTCGGGCGGGCCCGCCGGACTGTCCACCTCCGTGTCCGCCTCCGTGTCGGAGCCCTCCACCACGAGCGGCGCCGCAGCAGGCGGCCCTGACGACGAAGCAGCAGCCCCGGCGCGCGCGGCAGCACCAGACTGGGCCGCGATCGTCGCGATGGGGATTTGGCCGCCGACAGCGCCAGGCGGCCCCGTCGACATCTCCTGGCCAGCGTCGGGGGCGGGCGGCAGCGCGAGCAACGGCGTCGGAGGCGCGTGCTCGAGCGACGGCGGCGCCCCGCACTCCGACCAGGGCCCGAGGAGAAGCTGCGGGGCGGCCGACTCGCCGTGGATCCACGGCTCAGAGGTGCTGAACACCAGGAGAGTGCGCAAGTCGTCGGCCGCGGTGTCGGGCACGCCCAAAGGCGACCAAGGGCAAGGCTGCATCGGCGTCGGGGGCCCCCTCGGGGGGGCGCGGCGCCCAAGGAGAACCTCGATCCGCTCGTTGATGGCGGAAAGAAGCAGTGCTCGGCCAGCGATGGGAAACCGCCCCTGCTCCTCCGCGCGCGGCGGCGCGCGGCTCGCCAGCTCCAGCTCCATGGACTGCTCGGCCTCGGACGGTCCAGGCGCGGGCGGCTCCTCTGGCAGCGGCGGGCCCGGCTGCTCTGGGAGCCCCTGGCGCACGCCCCCGAACCAGTGCTTCAGCCGCCACTTCACCTGCGAGTCGGCGGGGGGGGGACATGAAGGAGAGAGAAGGGCGTGACAGGAACATGGCGGGCCCGATTTGCAAACTATGCCGATTCACCTTGCTCTCCCGATTCTTGCCGCCCCGCTTGTGCCTCGCCGAAGCGAAACCCTTGGCTTCCCACGGCGGAACGCTCTGGGAGGGGCCGGCGCGCTCGGCTGCACCATGGCCCCCCCCCTCGTCGCGCCATGGAGCCGCGGCGTGCGCCTCCGCCTCCGCCTCCGCGGCAGCGGCCCTGCTGCTCGAGGCGGAGGGCCACCGCCGGGCGCTCCGCCAACCGCTGTCGGAGGCCCAGGCGGAGGACCGCCAGTCGCCGTCGGAAGACCACGCCCCGCTCCACCAACCACCCCAGGCCATGGCGTCTGCCAGGGGCAGCGGCAACGGGAGCTGCGAACGCGCAGCGCGGCAACGCGTGCTCGCTGCTCGAACCAACGCAGCAGCAAGGAGCGAGAACGCATGCATGACGCCTCTTCCCCCTTTTCCCGTGTTCCTTTTCCTCCTCTTCCTCTGCTTCCCTCTCCTCCTCCTCCTCCTCCTCCTCGTCCTCCTCCCCCTCCCCCCCCTCCTCCTCATCCTCCTCTCCTCCTCCTCCTCCCCCTCCTCCTCCTCCTCCGCCTCCTCCTCCTCCTCCTCCCCGTCCTCCTCCTCTTCCTCCTCCTCCTCCTCCTCCTCCTCCTCCCTTCCTCCTCCTCCTCCTCCTCCTCCTCCTCCTCCTCCTCCTCCTCCCCTCTCCTCCCCCCCCCCCTTCCTACTCCTCCTCCTCGTCCTCCTCCTTCTCCTCTTCCTCCTCCTCCTCCTCAGCCTCCCCCTCCTCCTTCCCTGGGCGCTGGTGGACCCTGCCACTGCCACTGGGACCTTCACCGGAGCTCCCTCATTATGGGGCCACGGGGCGTGCGAGAGATGCGCCGGAATTGACCTGCGGAGAGCGGCCGCAAGGATGGGAGGAGGGAGGGGGGGAGGGGCCCGATACACTCATAATCCCAGATACTTTGAACAAAAACAAGCAACAAAAAAACACATAAATTCAAGTTATTAATTCATAAATAAAATAAATTTTTAAAAAATGAATTTCCAATTAAAAACCAAATAAACAATGTAAAATCTGAATAAACAATAGAAAATCATAACTTTTGAATTCCCGGTTAAAAATCTCACTGGCGAATAGATTTCCTTCCCTACAGGATCCTTGAATCATCCTAATTCGCGCGGTGCCTGTTGGCGAACAATGCCGTCGTTCTGTTCGCCAACTTCCCTGGGTCGAAGCTGGCCTTCAGGCTCATCTGAACCTCCGTCGTCCTGAAGCAGGTTGCCCCGCGACCATGCCCTTCTTGGCGGCGCGATCTCGCGGGAGTGGGCGCTGCGCGCCGCTTGAGCGGGCGCGCGAGTGCCTGCGATGATGACCCCGCCGATGATGGCATGGCGGGTTGCTCTCAGCTGCCCACTCCCCATCGCCATCTTCAGCCCGCCCTACGCGTCTGTCTCGAAACCTTGCGGCTCGATGCGCGGTCGTGTAGTACGGAGGTACTGTGAAAGCCTTCATTCTGTCCGAGTTCGCACTGGACCCGCTCAGAAAAGTCACTGGCACCACGCAGGTTAGTTACCCCGCGAAGGGCCATCATAGCAAATTGCCCTGCATGTGGGATTTCCGATCGTCTGCGGTCGGAGCGCCAATTCTAGCTCCTCTTCCGCGGCCGGCATCGCGTCGTCATCAGAGCTATCCGGCCTATATCCGTCGGAGTGCGCAGGTGCCCCCGCCACCTCGAAGTCCGAGTCGGCGGATGACTGGCACTCCTCGATGATCTTCACATGTGCAAGTTGCCCCGCGATCGGGATGCCCGGCCAATCTGCGGGATCGATCTCGTCGCGACCAACGCGCGCCTCCTCGCGGAGCTCCTCGGCGCACCTCTCGAAGGGCAAGCCGGCGCTCATGCATCTCGCAGACGTTAAATGGGCAGCGGCAGTGGGGTCACCTTCTGATTCGGCAGAAAATGTTTCGACATCGACATGCTGAATCTCGGAGTCGGTTCGCGCCAAATGCATCGACGGGCCCATGCCTCTCCTGTCGCCTCGGGGGCGCTCGCGACAGAAAAGCTGGGCGCTGTGGCAGATGCCGCGCGCCATGGATTCCCCGTTGGCGTCCTTCGGGTTGCCCCGTCGCCCCGCGCCTCTCTCTCTCTCTCTCTCTCTCTCTCTCTCTCTCTCTCTCTCTCTCTCTCTCTCTCTCTCTCTCTCTCTCTCTCTCTCTCTCTCTCTCTCTCTCTCTCTCTCTCTCTCTCTCTCTCTCTCTCTCTCTCTCTCTCTCTCTCTCTCTCTCTCTCTCTTTTTTAAATTGTTTTTTTTTCCTGCGGCGCGCTTGCGGCCCCCACCCTTCCCCAGGAAGATCCCCTCATGCTGTGGTCCCGCAAGGGGGGCCAATAATGATGGCTGGCATGCCTCAACCGCGCAGCCGTCGTCGTCTACCTCTGCCTCTACCTTTACCCTTTGACCTAAATGCGCGCGTCGGGCCGCAAGTCGCGCCTTTCGAACTGGCACTTTCATAAAGCGCCCCCGTCGACGCTTGCGTTTCTGGTGGTCCAGGAATATCCATTTTGCTTTTTGTTCCTCGGCGAGGTGCGCAGGCATATGCGAAAAGTATAGGTTGCCAAGTCCTTCATCAGGCGGAGCGTCGGCATCGGTGCCTGAGTCAAAGTTGGACTCTGCGGGTTGCCCCGCCGAGCCCACTACTGGCCTGGGTAGGGGCCGCCGTTGCAGACGGTCTCTGATTTTGAGCCTGGGAGTCTTGCGGCCCCAAGGGCTGGCCACCTTGTTGGCTTAACGAAGTGGTGGCCTCGTTTGGTTGTGAATCGTCCTCCCAGATGGTGCTGGCAGGACGCCCCGCGTAAGTGTCACTATGAAACACATCAGTGCGGTTGCCGCGGTTAAACGCACCACCAATGATACCGAGGGTTCTTTCGGCGATGTGGGCGTGAGCCCTCGTGCGCTCCAGTAAGGAGTCGACTTGTTGCTGAGTCCTTGGCATTTAGTGTTTCAGTGGTTGTAACAGTTGTGGCGCACGCGAAGCGCCGACACCTAGGGCCCTGAACAATATGACTGCCAGGATTTGGAAATTTGTGATGTTGAACCCCGCGCGGTCGGCTTCAAAACGTGCAATCTCGAAACGCGCCAACGCCTGATCGATCCATTTTCCCGCATGGAGCCGTCACCGAATTCAACGATCGCTCATTTTCAAGATTTTCGAATTTAGTGCGGAGGAGGAACATTCTAGAGCTGGCCCCGTCGGTGTGATGTCCACCAATGCTCGCTCCAAAGTTGATTACTCCTGGGGGGGCTCTAATCTACTGGCAATGGTCCTTGCCAGACCTCCAAGGCCACGCTGCAGAGCAGCGGCCTGTTGGGAGGGAGTCATACTGCCTGTGGCCACTGTGATCCAGGCATGTATCTCGCGAGCGAATTCGCGGAAAAAGGGCAATTACCGGCAGGGTCCCAATGGGGGCTGGTAGTGCGCGTGTCGTCTGCACCGCGATGCATATGTCCAACACCACATCCGATGGCGACTCAGAGGAAGCCAAACACAGCGATGCCAATCCAGTGGCCTCGTAGGTCGGTGTCGGTTGTAGGTGGCATGCGTTTGTGGGGTGACGTTGCCATCAGTTCGCGAGGAGGTGCAGGCGTCGCAATATCATAAAGCATGCTACCACGCATGGCATCTTCGAAGTAATTGCACATTGGCGTTGGCGGGTGGACTTCCGGAGTGTAGTCGCGCAGAAATGCAGGGTTTGGTTAGGAGACCTTTGCGCGAGCAGAAGCTTGAATGCAAATGTCCTTGCGATGGCCATGGTCTCCTCCGCGTAGAACCACTGCGCCGTGATGGTCCACCGTATCAGTAGTCCACCAGCTACTGCCGTGAATAGCAAGGAGTAGAACTAGACCTGACCACCAACGGCCAGCTCCGCTACCAAGTTTAAAGCCAGCTCGGAAACCCAACTAGATACTACGCCTTAGGCGTAGTATGCGTCCAATCGTGTTGTATCGTATTCAGCGATGGTGCCAAAGGTAGGAGATGGCCGCGTGAGCGGCGAAGGAACATCTCAAGAATAAAGGGTGGGACCTTTTCTGTCTCGATGTTAGATAGCGGGAAGCGATGCGACCCGGTCAAATTGGCGGACGGTCGCTTGAACCCAAGCGGCCGCGGACAAGCGCTCGATACCTCTCGCCTTTGCCCTTCCCACGCGCCTCCAGGGCCCTCGGCGCCTCAAAATCAGCCCTCCGTGGCCGCTGAGATGCCCAAGATGCTTTCTTGGATGGCTCCAGAAGGCCTCTACACACGCCAGAGAGGCCTCAGAACGCCAAGGATAATCTCCAGGCGGCCCAGGATGCAGAACAGGCCCCAAGAGGACACCCAGGAGGCCTCAAGTGGCAAATCTCGTTTTGCAGTGGTTCTTCAATGACTTTCGCGTTCTCGCCTCGGTGAGTGTCTGCAAGCCAGAACAGCGCAAGAGGCCTAAGACGAACCAAGAAACCCCCAACAAGGCCAGGCGACGGCCCAACAAGGCCCCAAGATGGGATGCCGCACACACCCCACACCCTCTTCTGAGGGTCGGCGGAATGGGGCAAGTCTCTTGGACCAATCCCGCTAGATAACGACGGACAACAAAACGTTGTACTTTTTGGTCCGCGCGCCGAGACGAGCGGGCAACGGCCCTTCGGCCGTCCGTTGCGTACCTGCTTTGAGGAGCATGCCTGTCTTCACTGTCAAGGCTGGGTGCTGGAACAAAAAACTAACAGACACCCATAGCAGATGTTTGGACGGGCTCCTCAGGAGGACGCCAAGCGACACACCCGCGGTCGGACCTAGGCCAAAAGAACCTCCCTCAAGAACATGAGAACCTCCGCCAGCCAACATGAAGAGCAGTCGAGGGTACCCTCCCCCACGATGCACAATAACACCCAACAAACACGAGAACGTGAGGGTACCCTCCCCGAACCGACCTTGATCTTATGCCTCGGTCCGACTGTACGCCGATCCAGGCTCATCCTGAGCACAGGATTGGTGTCTAGGACCTCCCTGCTTGGCCAGGAAAGCCCACACACACCGACCTGGGGCCAACGATCAAGCCAGCAAGGATCGATGAATGTGTATATGGTAGGTTTGTGTTGTGCCGACCCTGGCGTTGGTTTCTGACACCGCGCTGGCTCGTTCAAATTTGAATGATAGGCCGTTTCCCAAACGTTAGATCGCTCAACATCGACCGATTCTGGGTCGCCGGCGGCGTTCAACGTTGAACGCCGGCGGCAAGGTCGCCGCCGGTCGACACGACGCGGACCTACCATGTTTAGCGTCCTACGACTTTTGTACGCGAAT